TTGCCATACATATATCTGTCTGTAGGAATTTCTTCAATAACTAAAATATAAGAATTACAGAACATACTGCTAAATACGTTACTCCTCAAAACGTAACAAAGGAGAGATAGAGAAAAAGAGAGAAATGGGGATTAACGTCCACTCGACAAACTAAGTCATTTCGGGACTAACACATGGGTCAACTTTATTTCAATAATTCGCTTGCGCGCAGTGGGAGGAAACCGGATGACCCGGATAAACCCACAAGGTTGGACAGGCGACCCTACTCCTTGTGACGTACAGCCGAGGATTCGAAATCACGCCAGTTGACTCAATGCCAGACCTTATGATACAGCGCGCACGTGCTAACCATTCGACCATCCAACCCCCACGTAACAAAGGATTATTTCACATGCACGTCAATTTAATACACTGGGCATCGGCTTATCATCTCATCCGACCGACTAGACGCTATTCGTTGCCAGCCCCCCCCCCCCGTCATGCATCAATATTCAATGGCAAGGAGAGACGAGGCTGGAAAATTCAGAGGAGGACGTTAACTCCCATGTCATATCACACAGTGCATGTTTCTGTCTGTCTCAACACTAAAAGCTGGCTATCTGAGGTCAAAAGTGAGTTGTTTCTCTGAACAAACACGAAGCGTGACATCGACAAACAAGGATATCAAGCTACTTAACCAGGGCCCGACTGTCCGATTACTTCAATTCAAATTGTATGATGTCAATAATTGGCATAATTTATGATTGTATATATTTTGTTTACTTCGTATAACTATACAACGGGTCCCTGGATATATCACCAAATAAACTCTGCTATACTAACCTTCAATACCTAGTGACGTATTGCAAGCTTGTTTCAAAACCATCTCCATATTTAAAATATCATCTACTAACACCAGACATCGAATCCGCCCACGGAATCCTTCCCTATCTTGTTCATCGTACCCAATATCAATTGTGTAGTTACTGGTGGAAGTTGTCGGAGGTCCACATGCATGGGTTCCTGTATATTCTGTGCCATTTACTGTCACTACTATATCGTTAGGATATTCTATTTTGAAAGAAAAGACAACCCAGGTTTCAATGGGAAAGGCATCAGCTATTATCATATTGCAACATTCCTGTTGTGATGGATCCATTAACCTTATCGTTAGGTCCTTGTTGTTGACTGTGAGTACAATCTCAGTGGCGTCTAATGCAGGTGTCTTTATGTGCATTAAAGTTGCATCATTTTCCTGGTCCACGTAAAGATACATACCAAAACTTTGTTGAACCGCTAACAAAGTAGGAACTATTCCGCCGAGCATTAAAGCCGTAAACTTTGAACCATCAAAATATAAAGCTTTCCCGCTTAACGAGGATGGACCGTCAGCTTGTCTATAATCTGGCTGATTCAATGGTCCTTTAAAATCTGTGACTCGGAAACCCAAACTATTTTCATCTAATGGCCAAACAAGATGAGGAGACGGTGGAGCAGGAATAGTTACGTATGATGGTACTGAAATACAAAACCATTCACATAGTTATGTATAATTTTTATACACGTACCGTTTATTGTAGAAATCGTGATACTTAGTTGTGCCTATCAATCATGACAACTTTTTATAATATCTGAACGGCAAGCCCTCCCGTTTTGAAGGGGTGGGGGTGCATATCACCATCTGATACAAAGAGAGTTATTCCATTCTGAACCAAGCTGCCAGAATATGTCATTTAACTACTCATTCCGCATTTAATATTAGCTGAATGAAAATTTATCAAACAAAAGCTTTGATAACGAAGAATCAGTTCAAGCGGTGTTGTGAGATCCCCCTAAAAACAAACATTGGGACTGCCCAAATAGCTTGACTGTATCAAACGGTTGGGATCTTAAACTAGATTAGTTCCCGGGGTGTCAAGCGGGTGGAAGCATTTGTTAGCTGCATGGTGTTGGGAAAATCTCAAATGGCAAGTCCATGGAGTGTGCAAGGAGTTGAATCGCTTCCAATAATAGTTCTTTGGGTGTCAAGCGGTCGGAATGTGTAACTGGCACATTTGATCTGCTATATAGAAAAAGTTATTTTTCTGACGGGACAGTAGAATGTTATGTAAGCCACGACGTTGCCTACAGCAGCTTGTGGGGTGTCAAGCTTGTGGGGGGTGGGGTGGTCGTCGACTCTTGGCTCTTCATTCTGTATAGTTCTCGGTGTGTTAAGCTGGTGGATTCAAGCGGTTGAAATCGCTTCATATTTAGTTCTTTGGGTGCCCTTTATCTATTTTGAATTATTAGTACAGTATGTTTTTCGTATGTTCCGTCAAGCGAGTACGTTATGTTAATTTACCAAACATCAAGCGGGTCTCAAGTCTCTACGCATTTGATACACTTCCCAAAAATGTGACCGTGCTTATGGAATTAAAATAATAATGGCTGGAACCAAATTAAGTGCACCAAAATCTGAAATCCATGTTCGTCCGGTTAAAGTAGCTATATTATTATCTATTCATATAACAGACTGACGTCCAATATTTTTATTGCGTAAAAATGTAATAATATATTGTGGCCGAAAACCTTTCAAACGTTTGAAAATCTCACTTCTTGAAACCGTTTTCTACCAAAATATGACGCCATCAAGTGGTAATCAAAATGTACTATTGAAAGTGTTTCATAAAACAGAGTTTAAACTACTAGAATTTCTAAATTATTAGGCGTATTTAGCTGTACGACAGCGTGTAAGAACAATGTGACGTTTCAATGGCACTTATGAAAGATGAAATTTGTCAACTGTCAGGTGCTAGAATCTCCTTATTTATTACAAAATTTGTAGCACAAGAGTCATGGTACTACTGACAATAGGATTTTAGATTTTTAAAACAAAATTCAAACCATTTTTTGTTAATTTTTTTGGGTGTAATTTTGAAAGTGTATTTGTATTATTGATATAATTATTGATGGCACAGCTTGTTGAGCAATCTGGTTAAAACACAGATCCTATTTCGTTTCATCTTTATAGTTCAAAATTTCGTTTTACTTGTCTTTACTACACTTGGATCTGGAAGAGTTGTTATTTAACTCGTGTTCTGAATGGTGTCAGGGATAAGCCAATGAAACGGTCTGTTACGGCGAGCTTTAGGCGTGTTTTGCACGGAACTGTGGGTAATCCACTAGTAACATCAATGCTGATTGGTTAATCAAATGTCTGACGTCATAGGGTCTAAGTCGGTCTTTTGACCCCTGACGTGACCTATCGCTATAACTTGTCAGATCTTCATGTAGTGTAGGCCATCGAAAGTATAAAAAAACGAAACGAAATATAGATCTTTATTTTAATCAGATTGCCTGTTGAGTAAAAATACTAATTGTAAATAATACTTTACCCGGTGATGGCACAGTTTCCCATGGTGAAGTGCAAAAAGATATAATAGTTGCCTCATTTGCCTGACTAAACTCTATCCTTTCATCAAACAGCATGGCACAAGCCACCCTACCCGTAAACCTCTCTAGAGCACCCGTTCCCTGTTTAGATCCAATTCGTAATACTCCAGGTACTGACAGTGGCCCACCCATACCATTACTATATGTAATACGGCTTCCCCCATTCTTGGACAGATGTAACTTTTTTACTGCTTCATCAAAGCCAAACACCACTAAATTCCAACTGTTTATTTTCAGCGTTCCAACTATTCCTGAGTTGAACTCAGTACCGCCAATAGTTAGTTTAACTTTCAACTCTCCATCTGTTAAAGTGAACAGAAAATCGGAAAACTCAGAGGCCGATGCAGATGTTGCTACGTAATGAGCAATGGTTCCCGATAAAACGTCTGGATAAATAAAGATAGAAAACCCGAAGGAAGGTAATAGCAAGCAGTCTTTTATAGTAACATCTATGTTTGGTTGTGTTGGCGTAAATTCCACAAAACCATCTGACCCAAGTGGCGTGACCATTCCAGGCATGCTAGTAATACTGCACGCATCTTTTGTTGGTTGAATAGCATCCGCTTTAGTAGTCTGTACTTCTAATCCACAAGTCCATGTATTCAGTGGCCACCTGTATTTTGGTTCTGGTATAGCTATTACCAAAGCAACAGGAACTATTAAAAAATAACAAGTCAATGGTGAGGCTGGAGTCCCCCGCCTTAATCCCAAAATAAATAGATGACACTCATTATTTGCACTTTTATCTATTTGTCAAACAAAACACCAAGCCAACACATTGCTTAACCTGGGCTGACAATGCTGATGATCGAAATTGAGTTTTTATGCACCAAGCTGGCTAATCAAGACGATATCGAACTTAATCAAGGCATTGATGATGTCATGATGCTATATATCAGTTTTCCTCACTCTCACTCAGCTAACCTCATAGTTATCATAACCCAATGCATCGTCCATTCAATTTGCTTATCTGTGGTTAGTCTACGCAGCAAATGCTCACCATCGAACTCGCCTATTCACCTAATAAACTTCTACACCAAATTAAAAGCAGAGTTAATATGTTTCAAAGTGTCGGCAAACTAAACTCATTAACCTCAGTTAAGGCATCGACTCACTTTCCATGTACGCGTTTTCGACAGCGGAAAAACGCAGAGTTTCTGTGCTCGATTTTTTGTATTTCCATGTGTACAGAAAAATCGCTGAAAAGTTTGGGGAATCATAAGTGAGGATGGAGTACGACATTGTTTACGCTTAGTCGCCTTTTTCTAATAACACCATGTCCCAAAACTCAACCATGTGAAGCTGAGTTTGCAGTAGCACGAGCTGTTTATTGACTTAGTGGAAGAGAACCTGTGGTTATAGGCCGGAAAGTAAACCCGCGGTAGGGAACGCATGTGCACACATCACACAAGACAAAACTCATTGAACAACTTTTTTTCAGCGGGCGTTGTTGCATTCGACTGACTTTTCGGCAGTGGAAACACGCGGGCTTAAGTTTGAACATTCTCCTTCAATGAGGTACCGGCAGAACTAATCCGCCTGGTGGCGCTGTAAGAAAGTAGGACATCTCCGTAGCGACAACCAGACGCTAAAAATATGGCTGACTTCGACGACAAATATTGTGATAAAACGTTATTAGAACTTAAGGAAATTCTTCGCGTTCGTAAATTAAAAGTTGCCGGAAAAAAAAGAGATTTGGTTGAACGGTAAGTGATGATAATCCAATGTTTTCTTTAGATTTATTTATAGATGCTAGAAACTCGAGTGAACGATAGTCGAATGCTCTAGGCCTAATCAGATATAAATAAACAAACAGTGTCAGTATTCACGAGTGTTTGTTTACGTAATTCGTTGATTGTTATTGTTTTCCATTCCGATTATAATTTACACAATTAAAGACTGTTGTTAGTTATAAATTTATTGTAATGAAACCTGGTGGATACGAAGACAATATAAAATAATACATATTGATATAGGGCCTATATTATAATTATAATAAATACTTTCACTTTCAATAATAAATAGGCTAAATTAAAATTTTCTTTTCGTCCAGAACAGGTAAAACCGTATTCGGTATTGCTAGCCGTCGAGGCTATACTATTTTAGTATTATTGTTCATAATAACACTTTTCCTGTCTAATTTTAGTCTTTCATTAATTTAAATTCTAGATTGATATTTGATGACAGAAATTCCTCAAAAAATGAACCTGCACCAGAATTCCACATGTGTCTGCCTGGAATCAGAGAGTATACAGATCTCCATGCTGATCACTTACAGAACTTCCCTAATGTGACCAAACAGAGAGTAGTGGATTTCTTACAACTAAGTGACCAAAAGTTGAATGAAAAAATTGAACTTCTTTATGCACAGAGGTAACTTTTAAACATAGGTGTCACATCTTATTTAAGGTGTTGACAGCACAATCATGTACTATCACATCAGGCAGAGTTAGTGACTTTGTAACTCATTTCATTTTACACCTTTGCAAAGTTTGTGTAAGATTTAACTATGTTATGAACGGTACTCATTTACACTAAATAGGAAATATTTTTTATCCAGAAATCCATCTCTTTTATATTTTTTTTTATCAAAGTACCATTAATAATTTTAAAAAATTGTTTTGGAATTTAATTTGCAGAAGAAAAAAAAATTAATATTGGGAGCTAATTAACTTGCCCCAATGTCATCCCTCTCAGTGATGGTAGCCGCCAAGCGAATAATTACTGCTGATCAGTCTGTGACATCTTTTCAGTTTCTTCTTTGTACATAAACTTATCCTTTATTTTTACAATACATTTGTATTTATTTTAGGTATCTAAGATATGTGCGTGTAGTCATAAATGATGTAACATATATAACTTCGAACGTTTGGGCAGAAATGAAAAGATCAACAAGCTACAAAGTGGACATAAGTATAGATAGGAATGCAGTGATCCAGCAAACTCAGTGTGAATGTGCAGTAGGACAAGGACCATTGGCTCATTGTAAGCATGTGGAAAGTGTTTTATTTGGGCTTGTAAATTACTGCACATCTGGTAGCATTCTAACAGAAGTAACATGCACACAGGTATATATATTATCTCTATTCAGGATGTGTCATATTATTTAATTTTTATTGATTAGTTTGCTTTTCAATTCCAATACTGATCTTACTTTGGTGAAAGGCATGGATGTATAACTGATATTGCCTTAATTATAATGTTATTCTAGTTAACACCTAGTCATGTGTACTACAGCAATAAGTATAAAAATTATAGCCCTAGGCCCAACTGCCAGCAGGTCTAATCCTCGAATGCCCTGGTGTCATCTCCCATAAGGAGATAGAGAGAGAAATGGGGTTTAACGTCCACTCGACACAAACTAGGTCATTTCGGGACCAACATATGGTTTAATTTTATTTACATAATTCGCTCGCGCGTAGGGGTCTTTAGCAACGGGAGGAAACCGGGGACCCGGAGAAAACCCACAAGGTTGGACAGGCGACCCTACTCCTTGCCACGTACAACCGGGGATTCGAAACCACGCCAGTCGACTCAATGACAGACTTTATGATACAGCGCGCGCTCGCTAACCATTCAGCCATCCAACCCCCCTCTCCCATAAGGAAACGCTGGTCTGCAACATCACCCTAGGTAAGCCCCACTAACTGACTGAGATAATTATGAAAGCTCCTAGGGAGTCTAGATAAGCTGACATTACAAGTTAAACACATTTTTTGTGACATTCCATTATATTTAGGATACATTCAAACTTGGAATAAATATTATAGGAAATTCATTAATGATATTTGCATTCATTTCAGGTTTTACAAAAATTTCACAAAAGTAAGCCCATGAAAGGTAGTCCATTGAAAACAAGGAACCTGAGTGGAATCAGAGGAAATGTGAAGCCTGCTATTTATGATCCAAGACCAGTGCATAGGAAGAATTCTTCAAAAAATGAACAAAACTTGAGAAACATGGTACTTAACTGGCAGGTGAGCTAATTCAATTCATATTTGATCAATCTTAAGATTTTTGAGTGATTTATGTCATTATGAAAATGAAATATTAACTCCATCATCCTGTACTATGACAACCTTTTCTGTTTCAGGGAAAATCAAAGTGGCCTGTGCTACAAATGTATGAATCAGCCAACATAAGAGCCTTAGCAGCTGACCATGACTACATGGAGCTGACAATGGGGGATCACTTTCTCAAGACTGAAAAGGTATTATTTTAGTTTAAAACAGTTATTTGTTATAAGATAAATTACAGTCTTGTACTTTATTCAAGATCACAAATGGTTTGACTCTGTAACAGTGATTAGATTACTATTGTAGTGTTCCTCTATAAACAGTCATTATGTAATATCTAAATCTGCCTATTGCAGGTCTTTTTGGGGCCTTAAATGATATATAAATTATTAAATAGACATTTATTAACATAACAAGACCATAATCAACTCTCGATGCCAATTTTAAGTTGATATCTTAAATAATGCATCTTAAGTTTAAATGTCAATCGGATAATAATTTCTTGTATTTACTGTAATTTCCGGTATCCTGTATTTCAAAGGCTGAAATCTATGAAATTGAGCAGCAAACCAAATACCAAAGTGCATGTGACAGGTGGACAGCAGAAAGACGAAAACGAATTACATCTTCTAATTTTGGAAATATATGCAAGGCCACTATAAAGAGAGACATTGATATGCTACTGAGGGGTCTATTACACCCAGTAAATCTAAAAACTAAACAAACTATGTATGGGAGACAATATGAAAGTGTGGCAGTGGAGAGTTTTGAGACATTGACAAACACCAAAACTAAGAGTTGTGGACTTTTTGTTAGTGAGACACACCCTATGCTTGCTGCCTCACCAGATAGAGGTAAAGTGCCCGTACTCAGCACGAAATTATTTAATTTCTGAACAAACGGTTCCATATCTGACCATAACTGATGGGAAGTTAACCCTAAAAAAACCCCATAACTATTACTATCAAATACAAGGGCAGTTGTTTTGTGCGGGTAGGAGACAGTGCAAGTTTATTGTTTTTACTTTGACAGACATAAAAATCATAGACATCTTTTATGATCATGAATTTGTTACGGAAATGTTGAACAGACTCTCAAGTTTCTATGATTCACATTTTAAGAATGCCATTTTGAATAAATATTTATTTAATAAATAGAAATATATCAGAGTTAATATGTTTTATTCTATCCAATGTTACAAGATCAATACACGTCAACTTAGGCATCATTGTGGACAATGGCTGGTCTAAAATTACATAAATAAAAACAAACTGAAATAATTGCATCTGACAAATTTGATTCTGTATTATTTAGAGGTTTTTTCAATATTTTAAATGTCTTGGCTAGTCCGATAATTCGCTCAACGTGCACTCGTTTGCTGGCTATTTTTTGATCATTTGCTACTGAATGTACAGACATCCTGTTCTTTTTTTTAAAAAATTCTGGAATGTTAATTTCCACATTTGACGGTCTGAACAGATCTTGGACATTAAACCCCTTATCTGCCATGACAGAGTCACCAGATTCACATAAATTCATTAGACAGCTTCTCTCGCATATCTGCCTATCACTGGCTGCACCACCAAATGCATCGGACACATAACTCACAAGACCCCCTGGTGTAACACCTACAAGGACCTTAACCGTATTTCTGTTTTTATATGTGGAAAATGTGCCTTGCTGAATAATGGGTTGTTTTGGCCTTTGTATTGGTATTTCGGTACCATCAATTACTACCCTTGTTGTCGGAAACTTAGACTTAAAGTCTGCAGGACTGTAAAACTTTACCAAGTCTTTGGATGGCCACCAGTTAATTTCCTTAAAGTGAAAATACATGAAATTTATCCATGTTATAAATATGTTCATAAGCTCTTTTTCACATATTTCAAATGTGTCAGACAACTCAAAATTACTCCTCCCAAGTCTAAGTTTAACCAAAGTCAGAAAAAACTGGTCCTCTGTTAACATCTTAGGTTTTGTCCCATAAAAATACCTAAGTTCATCAACTACAGGCCCAAACGAGTAAAACAAACACATAAAAGCATCATAGCTTTCTAGTCCAGTATAATATAGAAATTTCTCCGAACTCAACATGTATTTTCGGGCACAGAAGCGCATTGACATATCAACTTGAGTAGCATAACAGTGTTATAAAGGTGTGATGGACAGACGAACCCATTTTCAGCAGTTCCGTGCTTCGTGTCTCTACTATGAAGCAGAATTCACGCCATAATTCTAACCCATAAACTAGTAATGTGTTTTGTTGGTATGCTTACTTATGAATTTCAGGATTTATTAAATCAGCATCAACACTTACATCTATTTCCATAATACTTATACTCAGACGAAATTGTCCACATCGTCAAAGATGCATTGTCACCAAAGTATTTAGAGAGTACTGGTATTCCTGAATAATGGCATGGGGCGCGCATGGGAGAAAAATATAAGGGCGTTACTAAGTGGCAAGCCGTCGGCTTGAGCGACGCACTGAGTCCTTAATATGTGTTGATTAAATAACCTAGCGGATGTAGGAACAGTAATATACCTAAAACGTACAATAGACCCTGCAATTAAACGACGAAGAAAGAATTTGATTGAGGGTAATCCAAGAATTTATTTAAGCTTCGATATTTATGGTAAATGAACATCGAATAACCACAAGGGACTCGTGAATGTGCAATAAATGCTACCGGTGTAGAATGGAATAACCAGACGCTAGAGATTGCCATTCGATTGAGACTTCTCGCGTATTTCGCCGAACATAGCTTTTGTGAAATTATAGTAAAAACGGAAACGATTGAGTTTATATCACTTTATAATACATTCATATTACATTATTATATACGTTGCGACCCATTTGTGTTAATTTCTAGGTCCTAAATATTAGCGATTTAGCTCCTTTAAGTAATAAGCAATGGAATGAAATGAAATTGGGTTTAATGGCACCAATCGGTCTATATTGCGCCAAACATATAGTGACGTCTAAGAAGTAATGAAGTAAGCATATTAGCATACGCATTAATATGTCAAGAGTTAGAATTATGTCGTGAATTCCGCTACATACTCTACAGTCTACATTAAGTTTAGACATTTTGTGTAAATTCTAATTCAATTGAAATACACGGTAGTAATTTTAAAATAAAAATCATATATTGTAACTCTTAAAATAATATTAAAATCACGAACATTTACAGATTAAGGTATTTATAATCGCGATTAATATATGGAAGCCTATAACTACCATTCATAATTTCTACTTTTCGCCCCTTCAGAACGCGAAAGTCGAAAAGTAGAAGTTACTACAAAATGTGAGGCGACAGCACGCTATACAAGCCAAAATCGACTCAAAAATTAAGAAATAATACACAGCGATAATAGCGCCCCTCGTTTTTTCGACTTAAATTTTGGCTTGTATACCATCTTGTCGACTCGGTCATATTTTGTATTTATTGATGGCAGTAAGAAGGCGCTAACAAGCATACCAAGTCAAAATGCAACTCGAAAAAGTAGAAATTAGGAAATTAACACCGCGCTATTAGCGACTATCATTTTGGCTTGCTGTCGTACTGTCGACTTTTCGAGTTTCGCCTGGGAAGTTGTTGTAGTCTCTACTTTCTAAGTCACATTTGAATCCATGCAATAGGCATTAACAAAAAAGTCTGTGTGATAAAGTCTAGTATTGATGGCGATATTAGCGACCTATGCTTTTGACTTGTTGTCGTGCTGTCGACTTTTCGAATTTCGCCTCGGAAGTTGATATAGTCTCTACACGCATTGATAACTGAATTTCGTTTACTGTGGCTTCATAAAGCATGTAAAATATACAAGTTTTCCCGATTGGATATTATTATTATATTTCAAGTTATATTAACACCATGGGTAGGAAACGTAAGCACGAGTCGAATAGCGAAGTTTCATTACCGCCGCCAAAATACTCTAAAGTGAACGACGAGTGCGATTGTAAGCATCTCTTACAAATGGAATCGAAATTTCTATTAGAATTCAGATTCTGGATCATTACGGTACATGAAATTAAGAATAGGCCTATTGTACACGCAAAACGTAAATTTAAAGAAAACGGGTAAATAGGAAATACTTGGATAGGATTTGCGTGTAAAGGCTGAAAATATATTGTTCAGTAGATGTGGAAAAGTCACCAAAAATAAAATCTGATCTTAGTAAATCATCTCAAAACTGTGCTAATGTATTGTGTAAAGAGGGTAATATCTATTTTAATAATTCGCTTGCACGAAGGGGTCTCTAGCAATGGGAAGAAACTGGGGTACCCGGAAAAAAACTCACAAGGTTGAACAGGCGACCTTTCTCCCTTGTCACGTTTAAGCGGGGAATCGAAACCTCACCACTTGACACAATGACAGACCTCGTGAATTCACGCACATGCGTTAAATCACTAGACTACCCATTCCCCATGTAAGATGGATTTTGTAAGTTGTTATATTATATTGTATGTATACGAGATAATTTTTATTGTTTTATAATAGGCCTACATAATAAATTAAATTGTTGTAAGTTGTCTTTTTCATCAGACATTTATGGCAGATAAATTATTCCAGTTGGCGGAGAAAAAATATGAACAATTTTTTTATATAAAAATTATTATCCATTATGGTGGGGAAAAATTGAAAGCCAGTGTGAGCCCTGGTCCCGAGTTCACAAAGCATTCTCAGTCTTAAGTTAATAATTTACTCACAATTGTTCGCCTTATCGTAACTAAAATATAGCCCTTTATAAAACCTTTGTTGTTTTAATGTATTAAAAACATCAATAAGAAACTATGTTCAAAGTTTTGTGTTTCTGGATCAAACATATTTGTCATAAACAGTGATTGAAAGTTGAGTAAATTCTTAACTTAAGTCTGAGAATGCTTTGTGAACTTGGGGCCTGGTTGCACGTATTCAAATGTGACCAGAAAATTGAGAATAAAACAACTTCCAAGCCGAAACTTGAAAAATCGCCAGCACGACAGTAAACCAAAATGGTGTGTTAATTTCCTAATTTCTACGTTTCAAGTTGTATTTTGGCTTGGTATGCGTGTTGGCGCCTTCTTACTGATATAAATAAATACTAAAATATAACCAAGTCGAAAGTCGACAAGACGGTACACAAGCGAAAATTTTAAATTAGTAAAAAACGAGGGGCCCTATTAT